CTCTCTCTCTCTCTCTCTCTCTCTTGTGTTAGCTCTTAGTCTCATTGATTTGGCTACCTTAGGGCTGCATTCCCCACGCCCACGCGGTAGACAATCAAATGTATCAATTACTTTACGAAACCTAATAAGTCAATAATACGGTCACCGGGAAGCTTAGGGCATTTTGCTACCACCTAGGGCGAGGTCCCACTAGCAACGGGATAGAATAGAAATGAGTTTGTGGGGCACTGCCAGTTGAGTGACCCCAATCCTGCCGTGCAGTACTCGTGATCCCACGGTCGGTATTTTACTTGTATTACCTGAAAAAGTAAGGAGATCTATGTCCTCTCCTCCTCTCCTTAAACCACCAGTACTTGGCCCATATATCGGCCGCGGGCCTTAGCGTTAACGCTACTCGAAGTTCGCGCTGGGGCAACTGGACCTGGAAGGCTGGCGCCGCCAGCCTTTCCGAAAACCAAAATCGATTTGGCGTTTCCGCGGGAAACGGCGCGCAGGGCACTTCCAAGCTCGGCTGCGATAGTTGGGCCAAGTACTGGTGGTTTAACACTGGGCATGCCCGAGCAAGGAAAGCTTCCCGCCAGAGTCTTTTCAATCGGTTGGGGGTGTGGCCAACCCCAAAGGAGGGTGGGGTTGGCCTTAGGCCCAGTGGATAGAAGATTTTTGGTATTTTACTTGCTGTTGTGCAATTATCTCATTGGCTGGAGCCCTCCTTCAATCACGGAGTATATGGAGGGGGCAGGATCAGTGCTGACAGAAGTCAGGTTTATTCCAAAGTTTATTGCAGAAAATGTGGCGGTTACTTTGTTCACTGTTGTTGCAACCACCACCATCAGATCATTTGTGATCTGACGGCTGGGAAGCACTCTGCCGTGATTTCGGGTGGGAGGTCTCTGTTTTTCTTTTTTTCTTTTTTTGCCTTTCTCCTGTTTTCTCAGCTCAGAAATTCGGTTTTTTTTTTTTTTTTTTTTTTTTTTTTCCGAATCGTAGACACAGAGTTGGTATGAATATGTGAAATCAGTGTAATCGTGCCCTGCATTCCTATTGTACCTATGTGAAGTTACCATGGCATCCATAGCAATTGTCAGTTGCAGTGTAGAGCACAGTGAGTTCAGTGATTTCTACACTAGTTG